GTGGTCTCTGGCTTCCTGCAGGGTTCAGCAGAGGCTCTTTGCTGTTTGTTCTGGCCTCCTTTACTGGGCAGAGACCTGCTTCATAGCTTCTCCTAGCTAAACTTCAAGCAGCAGCTGAGGTCAGCTTCTCAGCACTGGTGCAGCTTCAGCCCTTGTTTGGGTCCTGCCCCTCGTTAGAAGATGATGGTGTCTGCGTTTCCTGGCAAGTATTACCACTCGGCAGCCTGTCAGTGCTTTCATCTTGTTTTTCCTCTGCCGTCGGCTCCTGCAGTATGAGACTGCTTTCTGCCCTGTTTCTCTTAGCTTCTGAATGATTTGTTGCCTCTCCCTTAAACCACTTAAAACACGAGGTGCCGGGCCGATGTCCTGTTAGTGTACTGGACCTCTGAGGTTACAGCCGTGACTTAGTGCGGTCTGCTTTTAGAGAGGGGAAAAAAGGGTACGTAGGGGTGAAGCTTACTGGATTAGAAGGGGTTACCTTGTCTTGGAAGGATCAGGAGAGGGCTACCTGGTTGAGGGGCTCCAAAGGAAATGAGACCTGGCCGTGTTGGGTTTGAAGCTCTGAGGGGGGTGAGTTCAACCCTGGGAAGGGCTGGGCTAGAAACACAGGCTGCTCTTTGGTGCTGAGGACATCTCAAACAGAGAGGTGAAGAGCTAGAGGTGAGACACTGGTGAGGAAAAGGGCCAAAGACAACACTTCTCTGTGTCCAGCTGTGGCCCAGAGGAATTTGCTGCCTGACAGCAGAGGAGAGGTGGCATGTCACTGCTGGCGGTGTGCAACCACAGAAAAGGTCTTAAATTCTGCAGGGGATGAAGGGTCTCTGGGCGCTTCTCGGGTGAGATTTCAGAGAAGCAGCTCCAGGAGTGTGTGAGGTGGCTGTAAACAGACCAAACGGACAGCAACAAGCCAAACGGTAACGACTGCAGTCTTCTGAAGGGAGACGTGGGCGACGTAGCTGATCTGCAGGCTGCTGTGTAATCCCTCAGCTGCTTTACTGCCTCAGGCCTGGGAGATGGCAGACGATGTTTTAATGTTTGTTTATGCAGTGATGGCCCCGGGTGCTTTGGAGTGAGATGTCGGGGTTACAGCAGATAATTGTGTGAAAACGTCAGTTCAGCTTGGAAGTTGCAAAAGCTAATTCCATGCCTGTGCACGAGAAGACAAATCAGTCTTTGCCTGGAAGTGCTTGAGCCCTTAACTTGATTCAGAGCTCTGCAATGCAGTTACGGGAGGATGCTGAAGAAGAAGGGGGTGGATGTATGAGCTGGTGGGGCCATGGGTCACTCTGTCCGAGTAGGGCTTACAGGACAGGCTTTGATGACTGACAGATGTCTGAAAGACTGAGTAACAGCTTGATTCCTTGTTATGACAAAGCAAACTTGCAGGAGAGGATAGCAGTTTTACTGTGGATCTGAAGTCTCTCAAGAAAATGTCATCTGAAATGTCGAGGTGTGGTTGTTGGCACAGCGGTGTGTTGAATTAAGCTTCAGTTGTGTTTATGCCTCATGTACAGCCAACTGCGTCGAAACCAGAGGGCCTGATCCGAGAGCTGAAAGGAGGTTGCTGTAAGTACATGTCATGGTAATCTTGAGCGCTACCCTACTTGAATACTCAGCAGAAAAAGGCTGTCGTTCTGACAAGCTGTTGTGTTCTTGCACAAGGCAGCTTTCTGGGAACTGTGACCTGGCCATATTTTACCAGCTTTTGCGGGGGAGGAGGGAGAACAAAAAGCGTTGTGGTAATTCAAGCGCTCCCTTGCCAAATGCTGGCTCAGTCTGTCTCTTAAAGTGCGTGAACCGCTTGGAAAGAATGCCGAAACAGGCGAACGTACCTCTCGAAAGCAATCTCTGGGTTGAGGCCGTGTGCTGCTGTTAGTCAGCATCTGGAGGAGCTCATCGGGAGCGGCTGGGCTCTAGGTGCAGGTCTGTCGCCCTTTCGGCAGGCAGCTGGGGAAGAGGCACGGCAGAAGGCTCGCAGCCAGTGTCTCGTCGACACGCAGCGTGTGGGATCTCTGGCAGCCGCCCCTGCCGAGGTGCTGCTGTTGCTGCCAGAGGCCGACTCCAGCTCGGTCTGAACTTGCGTTAGGAAATAGGAACTTGAGCTTTTGGAGAACGTGGGGCTTGCTCAGCAGTGGGTCCGCTTATTAGTCACCGTGCTACTGGGACAGCTCTTCTGGCAGGGGATTTGTGAAACCACGGGATTAGTCCGTTCTTAACTGAGAAGCCTGACGTGAATAGTCCTATTAAAAACTCCCAAACCTCCTTGACTGAGGCTCGGTGACTGGCCCAGTGGCTGGAGGAGGACAGGCTCGCGTAAGGCACTGGTACGCTGTGGGATGCATTGAGTCAGGGTTTATAAATCCGGTCCAATTTTTGGAAAATATGTTCTGTTCTGTCTGCTTGGATGCTAAGAGATTCAGAAGAGTTTAGTTCCTGCAGATTGTGGCTGACCTTCACCGTAAAAGTTAATTCCAAGTGTTATATAAGCATGGCCCTTATTCCAGTTGCAACACAATGTTGTGCTGGCTCTTGTGCTGTGGAGTTGGGGAGGCAACCCCCTCGTCGAGCAGGACAAAATGCTCTGGCCAAGTGGCTCATGGGAGCTTGCTCAGAGCTGTTGAGGGAGAGGCTGCAAGGCACAGCGTGCAAGCTTGTGTGGCTCTGGTCTAAACGCAACGCAGCTCTGGCCTCCTGGAAGTGGGTGGTACAGCAAACTCTACTTTTTGTGTCACTGGGTCTCTAGCATCAAGTGACCCGATAGCGAGGCGGCTTCTTGCAGCCTCAAAAGTAAGAGCAGAGTTGCAGGTCGTGGTGACACCAAAAGGAACCGACGGTTTTGCTGTAGCAGAGTTGGAGTTGAGGAAACAAGCTGAAAGCTTTGGAAGCTTCCCTACTGAAGTAAGACGTGGTAGGGTATGCAATAGCTGCTTCCTCTCCAAGGTCCTGTATAGCTGCAAAACAACATCACATGCCTTTTTGGGCAGGCTTAGTTTTCATTAGAGCTCTGCACAATTACAGAGAACTGAAAGTAGGAGGTATATGAATGTGGCTACTGCAGTCCCCTGTGCCTTCCCTTGCAGTCTGATTTTATGGGTGCAATAAAGGACCCTTTCTCTCGTATTCATTGAGCAACTGCTGAATTTTGCTCCATGCTTTCTCCAGCCTCCACTAAAAGCAAACTAGTAAAGCCCTGATCTGACAGTGGAACTTAATTTCCACTCGGACTCCAAAGCTCATCATCCAGGAGCTTTCAGAAGAGGGACTGAAACTCATTAAGACGTAATTCTGGTAGATTTCCGTTCTGTAACTATATCTTAGCTTTCAAAAATCAAGCAGTTGCAAACCAGATGCACGAGAACTCTTTGCATGCAGGGTGCTGCCTGTGAGCTGGGCTTTTTGCAGGCTTTAGGAAGTGATTGTCATCAATAACAATCCTATGCAGGCTGCATGGAGGTGAGGGGCATTCTGAGGTTTGGCAGGATCCGGTGTTTGACTTTGACAAGGGTCATGTTGAAAACTCCACTGTCTTGAGTTATCTGGACCGTGTTTTCCCACCTCGACAGTGTGAGCGTAAGTTGATAATCTTTTGGTAGAATAAAGCACAACTGTTTAGCTGCGGCATAGTCTGGGGAGCAGAGATCTAGGTTAAGTTTCTGCTTTGCTTCAGCTGTGATGCGTGTTGTTGGGCAAGTAGCTCTCTTTGCTGCATCCAGGATTCCTTACTAAGAGTGCCACCAAACTCTCCTGTAAACTGCTGAGAAACATGACGGCAACTGAGCGCTATTTAAGTCTCTGGCCTTCCCCCCCCCCCCCCTCCTCCCCCCCCCCCCCCCCCGCCCTCTATAACCACCATCTGTTTCCTGTGAGACTTAGCAGTGGTAACGTCTTCATAACTCAAAAGTGCTGGGTCAAAAACATCTTTGCTAGACCCCCTTGGAAATACCCTGAAGAGTTAAAGTCAGCTTGACAGCCATGTGACCCTCCACCCCTCGGGCTGAGGACAGTATTGCACTGTACAGTACAAGCTCAGCTTGGAGGCCGGTGCGGAGGATGCTCTCCAGCTCATGCCTGTAGCTGGGTGTAATGTCAAAAAATCAAACTCCAAGCTAGGCTGAGTCCTTTCTCCGACCTCGGTGCCGTGGATGCTCGTGCTATGATGCTGAGGACTCCTACGGTTCAGTGGAAGGGAGAGGCAGCCTCAGTGCTCCTGCTTCAGAGAAACCAGGGAGAAATGTCTGGTTTTGGGGGTTTGGGTTTTTTTGTTTTCTCTGGACGGTGTGTTCACATCTGGTTTGACTAAACTCTCCCAGCTACTCTCCTTTCCCCATAAAGGTCTTGAATCCCTAGGAGGGTGCTTGCCTAACTGGCCCTCTGAGGTAAAGCTGAAGGGAGATGAACGTTATGTACCAGTGCAACTAGTAGAGCTTTGAGGAGTAGGATGATATGATGCTCCTCAGTTCTGGATTCAGTTTTTCCATAGAGACACTTAAATGCTTTTGGCTCAAATAGGGCTTTTATCTTGACAGAGCTCAGTATGTTGTGGTTGCTTGTTGGCCAGGACTGCAGCTTGGTTGGGCACCTGACCTGCAGTGAGGGTAACGGAGGAAACGAAGGTTTCCTCTACTTGAAACTGGAGGAGGGGAAGGCTTCGGAGCATGTTCCTCCATCCTGGGCAGGGGTTGCCTACCATGAGAGACATATTTAATTGGCCTTCCTCTTCACCAGCCCCTCTTTACCTCTTATTGCCTGACTTTTCTTTGCCAGTGCAATTAGTTGGACTGACTTGATGATGTAATACCTAGCTGCTTTATAATTTCAAGGTTGCCGTTTGTGTCTTTTTGGCTTTGAAATCTTTTCAGATGCTTCCACATCACTAGTCTCTGAGGAAACTTGCTTGTGGGTGCAGATAGGTTCTTGGTCACGATTGCTTCAGAGAAGCCTGCAACCAGAGCCCTTTTGGCTAGAGGAAGTGCTTAAGTTGTTTCTCTTTTTTTTTCCTAGATTTCTAGCAAATACTTCCTACAAAATCAGTAACCTTCCACCTTGATCAAGCACAGTGGACAGCTGGAACAGGTGTGTGCTCAGTTACACAGATAGTGTCACAGTTTCCTCTTTAAGATGGGACAAGGCTGGTGTGGTGAAACACCGATCTTTTACTGCATTTGGATTGTCCGTGATAAAAGTGAGCACAAATATAAGCGTATGACTTAACACATGGGTTTTGTCTAGGTGATCTTTCAGAGAAGAGAATGCCTAGAGAAGTGCTGAGCAACAGCTTTCTTGGATATGCTCAAAAAAACCCCCAAACCCAATGCAAACCCTGTAGAGTGGAATTATTCTTTCTTTTTCAGACTTGAAACTGCACCTCCAGAGCACAGACTATGGGAACTTCCTGGCCAATGAAGCCTCCCCGCTCACCGTCTCCGTCATAGACGACAAGCTGAAGGAGAAGATGGTGGTGGAGTTTCGTCACATGAGGAACCATGCATATGAGCCCCTAGCAAGCTTTCTGGACTTCATCACGTGAGTACCAGCTGCTCATGAACAGCGTTTGAAACGTTGGTGTTCTTCCAGACTTGAAGGCTCTCAGACCAGCTTTCCACGCTCAGCCCTGTAGCTGCTATGTTTTCTGCAGCTTCTTGAATGAAACTGTTTTGGTTGTATCTGGAGGTTTCAAACCAGCTGCACAGTATCGCTATGTTGTTAAAGGCTTCTGCTCCCAGGGTGCGCATGCTTCACTGGCACAGCTCCTTAGTTGCCTTCCATTGCAGGATTGGTTCAGTCTCTATTAGAGCTGTCATTTACCCTTGTCCCTTGTGTTAAATGTTCCTGGGTTTTTTTAAAATGTGATCCTGCCGCAAAACATACGCGTGCCGTGCATCTGTATGACAGCAGTTGCCTGCTAGTTCTGACCCACCGAGGTCGATCGGCCTTTGTCAGGGCTGCTGTGATCCTGCCATCCCACCCCAGGGGCTGTAGGCCTTCCTCTCACCCTTGTCACAAACTGGTTCAGGGAGCTGAGCTGGCCAAAAATTTAATAACTTCTCACTTTTGGGGTTAATCTTTGACTGATTTGTTTTTTGCGGCCAGCTCAGTGGGATCCAACAAATGCCAGCACTAGGGGAAGGGAGGGCCTAGAACATGCAGCGGGGAAAGACGGGGCTGCAGCAACCTCGGCACGTCTCTGTCAGTGCATGAAAAGACACGGGGCGTGTGTGCTTCCACAGCAGGTTCAGCTGACGTGAAAAGCTTGAAATAGCACAGTGTTTGTGCAAGTATCTTCTAGCAAATAGCACAGTGTTTGTGCAAGTATCTTCTCCTAGCGGTTTTGCACAACCCTCTGCTTCCCTGTGTGCTGCCCTTGTTTTAATTGGTAATAAAATGAAATTGCTAGCCTCGGTGAGATGTCAGTTGTGCTAGTTTGCATCCGAAACATGGAAGTAAAATTGCCTTTTTTCCTTTCCTTAGTCTATGTTCCTGTAAGCTCTAGTTTGGCTTGAAAACTGCATAGCCAGTGGCCTTCTCTAACCAGCAAGGAGATAAATGTCATGGACAAAAGTGAATTTCTGGTTCAGTAGAACATGACTTTAACTTGCATCTCTGAGAAGAAGATTGTACTCTCTTCTCGAGTCGGATAGCTGATAGATCAGCATTCATTTATTTGATATAGTGAGCTTGGGCTCATCGCAGGCACTCTGGCAAGTGGTGTTTAATTTTGCATTTTTGGCAGTTGTGTGTGCGTTACCTTGCTTGCCACCTAGAGATTTTTGAATGGTGCAGGCTGATGTGGAAAGCCCTTTGTGGTCGATTCAAAGATTTTAAATTTTGGCCTGTCTGTGGCATCTCCTGCATGTGCAAATATTGATTAAAGACCTGTCTCTCTGCTGTATTCCTTCCTGTTCTGAACTTTCTATATCTGGACAGTAACGCTCTCTCATTTTTCTAACCCAGTGGCTCATATCTGTTATTTTCTGGGTCACTGTGCTAAAGCTGCCTGTCTTTTAAGCCTTTCCTATTTTCTAAGAAATAGTTTTTTTCTTATATGCCTGTCACTAAAAATCATTGAATTTTGGTATCTGGCTATAGATACGGAGCAAGACATCAGCAAGACATTACCAAGCCCTTATTTTGCAGCAGTCTTTGCAATGGATGAAGTGGTTTCTAGCTCATCATCCTAGTTGTATGGAGCAATCTCTTCTATTCTCTCAAACATAAAACAAATAAGTTAACTTTCAAAACACCCCTTTGCCCATCTTTAATTTGCTGTAAAGACATCAGTACTGTTTGAGCCTGGCAGTATTAGGTAGTTTGTCCTCCGCTGATGCTTCTCCTTTGCCCTACAGGTTTACGGAAATGTCTAGTCTCTATGGAAGTATCATAGGAATCACTAATGGTCTCTTCTTTTAGCTTCTGTCATACCTTCTTAAAGGCAATGGCCTGGGCAGGACACATGAGTATCTTGCAGACTTTAAAACTTTGCTGTTCCCTAACAGTCTCACTTTGAAAACCGGTGTGTGGAAAAGATGAACTGAAAGGTCTCGGACCACGTCCACCCTGATTACACACTGCGTGACTTGGTAGGAAGGCTGCGAATGGCTGTGGAAATCCAGTTACGCCAGTCCTGTTGACCTTTATCCAGTGTCTACGTCCAGCTCGAGTTGTGCAGAAGACCTTAAACATCTCATGTAATCCAGTAGGCCGGTTCTTGCAGCTGTTTGAATGACTTAACTTTAAAACTGGTGTTTTGCCCTCAACTTGATTTAACTTTGATCTTGTTCTGCTTCTGTCTCTCTGATTTTGACGAGTTCTCTAGGACAGCACACAATTCTGTGCAGATATCTGTATCTCTTGCCTACTGCGTAATCTCTTCTTGAATATATTGGTCCCATTCCACACAGGATGTTTCTTCCTTGAGTTGTCTTCACTCCCATCTCTTCTTTTCCTTTTTACCCACAAGATTTGCTTTAATGCCACTGTCTGCAGTGCTGCCTAGAGGAGTGCAAAAGGTGAAGCAGGAGAAAAGCTGTTTTCCTATGTGAAGCGTCTCCACTCTCTTGCAGAGCCTTTTGTGGAAGGAGTCCAAGTGTTCAGTTGTGTTTTGGCATGGTTCTGCTGCACCACTGATGGAGGGGTCTCCTCTGGGTCCGCACTCATCACACCAGTGGAGTATTGATGAAACAGAGAAGGTGTTATCAGCTTCAGCTGGTCCAAGGTGGGAGTCACTATCAGTGTATTAGAAGCTCTAATAACTTATAATGACACTACAGACAAGTTAAAACAGAAGAATGAGGACAGTGAAACACAAGGAGTTTGGAGAGGGTGCTGTATTTGCCCAGTGGGTCTTAATATCTTCTGTTGATAGTCTATTTAATATATTTAGTGACAGGGCTAGTAGAAAAGAGAGTAGACTAGATATGACTTCTTGGGCTGCCTTTCAGGCTGTGTTTTTTCCCTGAAACTGTCCTGTGGGTTGTAGTAGGCCTTGGTTTGGGGCAGGGGACAGAAGCTTCAGGGATTATTGTCCTGCTGACAATGTGAAGCTTCCCACGCATGTGGAGAACAGCTCTGTTCGGAGACTGGCAGGGCGTACTTGTGCCAGTAGCCTTCATCTAACCCAGGCTTGTGTGCGGGCAGCATCACAGAGATGTTCGGCCAAAGGATGTTGGCAGCACTGGGGATGTTGTGACTGCAAGCGGCAGAGGTACTGTGTCATCCTGCCTACCCTGGGTGACAGTGGGACAACCCTGTGCCACTTGATCTTCCGCTCTGGCTGGGCACACAGATAGGCGTGATGGAGTGATTTATCTTTGCCTTGTAAACATGACTATTTCCCACTCCTTTCTTTTAGGGCAGTTAATGAAACTTGAGCAGGAAATGGTAAAGATGGCTCCTGGTAGACAGCTCAGGGCCAGCGAGGCACCAGGTGGTCAGAGGAAGAAGTTGTACTCACCTGAATGTGCCCATGTGCTAAAACTGTACAGGCTGAATTGAAATAGGAAATGGTAGAAAGGTACGGAAAGTTTGAGCAGGGCTGGCTTCTGCAGGAGGAAAGCTTGAGTTCACTGGGACTCTTGAGAGAGAGGCATTGGGTTGTAAACAGAGATTTTTTTAAAATCGAGTGGGATTGTAGGAGGTGTATCTGGCTTAAAATGAAAAGAAATGTTTTGTAGCGTGTCCAGTTCAGCTCTGAAACTCACTGCTGCCGGATGCCTTTGTATGTACTTATATTTTTTGCCGTCTTAGAAACGTTGGATAACCTCACACGAGACAGGCCCATCGAGGCCCATTGAACACTTGGGTGCCATCCCACTGAGAGTGGCCAGGCTGTAGATGGCTGGTGCCGGGAGGTGGATCAAGCATTTGAAAAACAGCCAGACTTTCTCCTTCCTGAGTGTCCTGCTGGACCTCTGAGGTGGTTTTGAGTTGGTTGACAGGTGACTGTTGTGCTTGTTTTTTGGAGGGTGCTCAGATCTTGACCCAGGGCACATCGCTGAGAAGATCTGGGGAACTATCTGATCTGACGAGTGGCTGTAGTGCTTGTCCCCTCTGATTGCTCCAGTGCCAACCTGCCAAAAGCCACACCGTTTGTCCCTGCGTGGGATTATGCTGTGTCACTTCTCTTAACGAGAGAGTTAATGAGTTAATGACCTGCTACGCCACCTGGATGCTCACAAGTCTATGGGGCCGGATGGGATCCACCCAAGAGTGCTGAGGGAGCTGGCAGAGGAGCTCGCCAAGCCACTCTCTGTCATTTATCAGCAGTCCTGGTTAATGCGGGAGGTCCCGGACGACTGGAGGCTTGCCAATGTGACGCCCATCTACAAGAAGGGCCGGAAGGAGGATCCGGGGAACTACAGGCCTGTCAGCCTGACCTCGGTGCCGGGGAAGATTATGGAGCGGTTCATCTTGAGGGCGCTCACAAGGCATGGGCGGGACAACCAGGGGATCAGGCCCAGCCAGCATGGGTTCATGAGAGGCAGGTCCTGCTTGACCAACCTGATCTCCTTCTCTGACCAGGTGACCCGCCTAGTGGATGAGGGAAAGGCTGTGGATGTGGTCTACCTGGACTTCAGTAAGGCCTTTGACACTGTCTCCCACAGCATTCTCCTAGAGAAGCTGGCGGCTCACGGCTTAGACAGGTGTACTCTGCGCTGGGTCAAAAACTGGCTGGATGGCCGGGCCCAGAGAGTTGTGGTGAATGGAGTTACATCCAGTTGGCAGCCGGTCACGAGCGGTGTTCCCCAGGGCTCAGTTTTGGGGCCGGTCTTGTTCAATATCTTTATCAATGACCTGGACGAGGGGATCGAGTGCACCCTCAGTCAGTTTGCAGACGACACCAAGTTGGGCGGGAGTGTTGATCTGCTTGAGGGTAGGAAGGCTCTGCAGAGGGACCTGGACAGGCTGGATCGATGGGCCGAGGCCAACTGTATGAGGTTCAACAAGGCCAAGTGCCGGGTCCTGCACTTCGGCCACAACAACCCCATGCAGCGCTACAGGCTTGGGGAAGAGTGGCTGGAAAGCTG